GCTCCTGCAGGATGATTGGAGTGGAAAATATTTTGTGTCTACATGTATGTGTTTTTGTTGGTCATGAGACCGTTGACTGGTTTTCACACACTCCACCCAAAGCTTTGTCCTCAGATGTCTCACAGACGAGTCACCGGTCACAGAAACCTGCTAAATGTTTCCTCTCTTTGTGAAATTCAAACTTCAGTCTTTCTTTATTAAGAATTAAATGTATCACAGAATAAGACTCAATGTATGGTCTTAATATAGATAAACTAAAATGTAAATGTTTTGTGCTTTAAAAAAAGCATCGGATAAAGCTGCATTAATTTAAAAATGAAAAAACAAAGTTTCTAACTTTACAAACTGTGGCTAAATGTCATCATATTTCATTTTACTGGATACAGATTAAAATGCATAAAGCTGCTGTTTCCTTTTTGAGCTTAAAATGAAAACTTTGGTCTCAGATACGTAAAAAAAGGGACTCAGTTTGTTGGTAATTGGTGGATTTGTTGAAGAAAATTAATTAACTTTCTGTTGTGAAAGATTAAAACTGTATTGCTGCATTTAATTGGAATAGGTAGACTATACGAAGACCTCAGTGAAATTTCTACTGATCATTTGTGTGCCTGATTATTTAAACAAGTTTATTTTACATAAAAGCTTCAGAACAAACTGTTAAATATGTTTTTTGAAAATGCCTGAAGATGAAGCCGTTCCATTTATTTATAAATGTTTTTTTCAAGTTTTCACCCTGATACAACCTAAATATATGAAATAATTACCTTTGCATGCTTTTTACATTTATCATTTGTTTTTAACTTTATCATTTTGTTATTCCATCCATCCATCATCTTCCTCAAATATGTCACAGACATACAGTAATGACATTAACTATCATGGTTCAGTCTCTGGTGTTTTCACTGTGCTGGACACAAATAATTTTTAAATAATATCTTCAAATAAAAGTGTTTGCAGTACATCTATACAAGCCCATTCAAGCCACTTTGATTGAGAACATAATCTAAGTCTTAATTTTTACATTTTATCTCATAATATTGATAATTTGGGGAAAATATCTTGTAAGTGTGGCTTAGAGAATCTTTTGTGGCAGAAAAGGGCTTTCACAGACTTGTAAACAAATGAGTTTTGAAATGTTCCTGGTAGCGATGTGTTAAAAAAAAAGTAT